TGTGTTTTTATTAGCTTAATAAAATCAATAACGTTTTGAGCAGCCTCATCTTTAGATTTTAACAATTTGACTACCAAAAAATGTGAATGGTCATCAAGTAAAACCTGAAAGTACCTATGACCTTCTAAAGATGGAGTTGCCACTGGCCCTGCAATATCTGTATGAATAAGTTGACCAATCCGAGTAGTTTTTCTAGTACATTGATAAAAAGTTTTTCTAGTACTTTTACCTTCAACACAATTACTACAAATTTCATCACTATAAGGTAAACTTAACTGTTTTAGACCATAACGATTTAAATGTCCTAGTCTCTTATGCCAAATATTTCCTACATTATCATTTATTACTTTATAGCGATTTTCAGATTTTAAATTTATAACAATCAAAAATAAATTATTAAAACTTTCACAATAAAATGTAACATTGTTTTGTATTATTTTTGCATGTTTTCTACCTGTTTTATCAGTTTCAAATATTATTTTAAAACCTTTTGTTAATAATTTTGACACAGAAATTAAGGTATGCGACATACCATTAACGATTAGAGCTTCTAATTTTATTTCTTTACCTTGGCAAATACCACTCAGTGTTCCCTTTTTCTCTGCAACCAACGTCTCCCCACTCTTGACCGTACCTATTTTTATTTCTGTCTTTAAATCTTGTATATCTGTCATATAGTCTTGCAGTTCACTTGTCAGTAAATATTCAGTAGCTCCAGAGTCCAAAATAAAACTGTTTAGGTTGTCATTCAAGCTCACACTATTTAATGCAATAAATGCAACTTGTTTATCACTTTCTTTTACTTCGTTTGCCTGCTCACTTGTGTTTGCATTCGCACTATACTTACGATTACCTCGACGTGAACCTCTGTAATTTGTAGCAAATCTACCTCTATCTCTATGCCTGTTCTGTAAACACTCAAAAAATTTGTGACCTTGTTTGCCACATTTATAACACACATATTGACTTGCTTTGAATGTAACTTCATTATCATTTCTACTATTATTCCCATTTTTTGATTTCCTTTTTAATTCTTCGTCCAACAATCTTGATTTGACAAAATCCATTGTTACATCTGTGTTTAATGTTTCAATCGCCGTTATTACAGGATCATAGTCCTCATTAAGAGACAAAAGTAAGTGGCACACCTTATCCGATTCTTCGATTTTAGACCCAATACTTTCTAATTCTCGTATTACAGAGTCAAATTTCAAAAAATGATCCTCTAATTTTTCGTTCCTTTTACATTTTATTGTTAGCAACTTCTTCTTTAAAGTCAACTTCGAAAATACACTTTTCCTTTGAAATACATCTTCTAATGCTTTTAACATATGCTTCGCTGTAGTTGAATCTATAATTATATCAAGGTGTTTGTCACTTACACATTGCACTATAATTGATTTTGCCTTTGCATCCCTAATTTTAAAATCTGTCTTCTCTTTTTCCTCAGCAAAATTTGATACTTCTTTCTCCAAGGTATCTTCAATCTGTTTCTCCTCCAGAAATGCTTTAACTCTAAACCTCCAGTTATTATAATTCTGTGCATTTAATTGTGGAAATACCACCGACGACGTATTCATTTTGCCGTTACAAGTTTAATACACGTGTCCAAAAAAAAACTTTTTCTTTTTTTTCAAATTTTCACTATCTACCTTCCGCCAGCCAACGTCTTGCGTGGTTCTGGGCCCATAACCTGTTGTGAATTTATGAACACACGGATGTATTAAACTAAAATAACTTTATTAATAATGAATACACTTATTTTAAATTAACACTCTCTCATGTTAGGTCAGGTTCTATTCTACACCGTTTAATCTTCTATTTTTACAGTGGATTAATGACAAGTAATCACAACAATTGGAAAATAAAAAACATTCAAGGTCTGTTGTTACACTAACTAAAACTTAGTAAATTGTGAAGTAAAAGAAGAAGAACCTATTTCGGAAGTAAAATTTGCGTTGTATGGTTTATGTTGATGTTGATGCACAAAAAATAGTTCGTTTGAAACTTATGGATTGATCCGAGTGTTTCTTTCGAAGGTTTTTTGCCTCAGTGAAGCTGAATTCGTTAGGCGATTGGTATGGCAATCCGAACAATAGATCAGTTAAATTACTAGGTGTATATTAGAATGCCAGCTTATAAATAAAGGTTAGGAAATGCAACGTCCAGAACGAATGATTGTTAAGCGTCAGTCAGCACTTAAAAGCAACTTACGCCTATTTGAACCTAGGTATCTCGCTCTGAGAGGTATTGTCCGCACGGAAAACACTGAACGTGTGTGTTTGCGTTCCTAAAAAACGGCGAGGTCGATGCCAAGTTTATAGCCGAATTATTTGTTACTTAAAATACAACGCTATTAAAGCAAAAATAAAACCTCCGCCGGTTCGATTTCAAATGAATAAAATCTTTTGTCGATACTGAACAATTTTGACTGGAGGCAACACCGTGGAATAGTATAGTCTATTTCTACGACCAAATTTAAGGGTCGTTCGTATGCGTTTATAATTAAAACTATATGAATTGGGCAAAACTTCCTAATGGGGTATCAAAAATCTTATTATGGGCTGCTAATCTATATTGAAAACAGTAATAACAATATTAGTATAAATACGATTACATCGTCGTCAGTTAATAAAAGTTGTGTGGTAAAAGATGCTGATGACTTTGCATGAAATACTAACTTCAGCGTTCCTATTACCTCCGACGCTCACACAGGAATAGTATAAATATATGTGACACTTCCTTTATTTATTTATTTAAAAATAAAAAGTCCAGTAAGATCAGTAAGGTTCGAGATTTTTTTTTATTTTCTTTTCTTTCTTTCTATTTCTATTTTAAAAAGAGGCGCCATAGACAGAATTTAGATTTTCTTCCTTTAGTACGTAAAAAAGTACTGAGAGATATGAGTTCTGGCTGCCAAAGGCATAACGGTATTATTTTTTTACTTGAAAACGATAAAAGTGTTTGTTGGCAAAGAAAAAGCTTGAAGCAGTACTGCATAAAGCAGAATATTTTATATCTTGATGTAGGGCTAAAAATCTGACCAGATAATAGAGAAAAAAAAACAGCAATATTGATAGATAGAGAAAAAGATTATGAAAGCGAAGAGGGTTTATTAATATTGGAGTTTTCTCGAAAGGGAGATTATCGCAGGGACATGAATGCCGATTTCCGAAAACTACTAAAAGATTTTTCGGCCGACGCAGTAATGGTTATGCATAATGAAATCTATCATAGAAGAAATGCATAGAAAAATGACCAATAAAGCATGATCCACTGGCCTTACTAGCAAAGATATTGGTTTTGAGGGAAACATCATAAACGAAAACGTGAATTTACACAAATATCGCTTTTTGGAATATGCCGTAAAATATATAGCAGTGTCGTTACTCACTAATCGGTGTGCATTAAATCCAATGGAACTCATATGAGCACAAGTGAAAGGATTCATGGCAAAATGAAACCTGACGTTTAAAATGAAAGATGTAATGCCTTTTTAGGATACTTATAGCTATTACATCTTTCCATACTTTTTGCTAGTATGATATGTCATGTTTTTCTAAATTGTTTACAGAATAAACTAAACCTAAGAAAATTAATCTAGGTCTATTTCCAAAACAAAACGTGTCAATTTTTTCCAAAAACGAGTTTTTGATTCAAAGTTTTTGAATATATAATATAGGTAACTTGGATAAATGTTAATATTTTTGCCTTTTCAATATTCTTTTTTATTAACATATTATTTTGTTTAATTTTTGGTTATTAAAAAAAAGGACAAATCTACATGTTAACGTAAGTATTATATTATATTTATATATTATATATTATTATTATAAAAAACCGAATGTTGCATATTAACTCCAACCCTTATTGTTTACGAAATAAAACAAATGCCAAAAAATAAACCTAATAAACCTAATTGTACAAAAATGGTTTTTTGCTTGAAAGTTTCTTAATAATAAGCTAAGCAAACAATTTGAAAAAAATGTAATAATTTTGTCTATTGAATATTTCCTATTATTTTGCAATTAAGTATTTTTAAAAAATTTTGTTATTAAAAATAAAAAAAGTTACAAATATGGCTGATTCTGTTTTAACTGTGACTAATTAATAAGCTAATAATAAAAATTTTGTATTAATTAGATGATCACGAACATACTTCATCATATTTTTTATATAATATAATTTAGTTATTCAGAGAGAACCTGTCAAATCCATTTTTTTTTGTCGCAATTAGTGATTTAAACGAATTACTAAGGTTAAGGTTTTAAGTTAACACTAAATTCCGGTTCAACAACTTTTGTCTTTAAAATTTAACAAAGTTTTGAATTTGAATTTATATGACTCGAGCGCCATCTACCTTGAGAGCTATGAAACGTATAGTGAATCAAGTTGAAAGTATGACATATGAGTACTGTTTACAAACATGAAGGTAATGAAATAGTGCAATGAGAAAATTTGAAACATGTTCTTGACGCGTTGAAGTTGTAGTAAAATCCTTTCAGGCTTTTTTACCTTCCCATACCTTCAAAGTATCAACATGTTGCGGTAATTTTAGTCAATTTTTGCAAATACAGTTTATTTGCAATTGATTTCCTTTGGTCAATTCGAATTAAATAACGCTGATTATAATGTGAAAACGAAAAAAAAAAACACAACCAAAATGAGTGAGAAAGCTCTAGGCAGCGGTGCCAAAGTCTGAAAAAATCACGTTCAACTTACTTTCTCGAAATAGCCAGAGTTCGCTAGAAAAACATTTCTTTTGGGATAAAAAGGAATACATTTGTTTAACGGGTCGCGTATAAATACAACCATAAAAAATTCATGCGACATATGGGCGTTCAAATTGATCATAGCGGAGTGACGTAGGCAACATATTATACACATTAACCGGTTTAAATCGCTAAATTGACTCCCCGATTAAATCGCTAATGTTCTACAAATGGCGATGGACGGAATTACTTTCTAATAATGGACGACGAGTTGGGTATTGTTTATACCTGTTTGTTCGATGCGGATAACGGAACCAGAGTCGGAGTCGGTGGCGAACCACCCCGTAGGTGAATTTCTAGATTCCACGTCACTGTCCGATTTGAGGTCGTCCGACGTCTCCTCTTGTATCGTTTCGAGGTACATGTAGTGACCAGCCGTCGTGTGCAGAAAGTATTCGGCATCTGGAAATAAGAAAAAAACGATTAATTTGTAATAATCGTAGGAGAACTTTAGTTAATACTGAAAAATGGAGACAGCGAGTAGAAAAAATATCGTCTAAATTTAAAAACTTGCTAGAAAAAGAAGTTAATGGTAATAATGTTGTGATCCAGAAAGCAAACAAAAATCATGTTTTTCACTAGATGTAGTAGGCAACCCACAATTCTTATATCTATTGAGCGTTGATCCAAGGAAAAGCATATAGCTGCGGGACATAGGGAAATAACAAAAAATTATTTCGCTATGCTACTAGATATATAGAGGCTTCACCAATAGCATACATTTTCAAACGGCTCCGACCCAATCAGAACGAAGAATATTAATTTGAATTGAAGCGCGCTTCGTTTGAGATCGGGCATAACCGTTCCCTTTAGGCAATCTCAATTTTTTGATTTGGCACGGGTACCGACATCGACAGGATCCATTGGATATTTGTTTATATTTAAATATAAAAATAAAAAAAACATTTATTGCTATCAGCACGAAAAATTACAGTAGATATACATAAGTGTCAGTAAATTAGGAAAACATGGAAGCCAGATACTGTTAAAGCCTCATTTAAAAATAAAACTCATTGTTCCAGATAGCAAAGAATAAGCCTGATATAGTAAGTAAATAAACAATAAATATCCAAGAAGAAAGGAGAAGGGAAAAGGTAGCAATAAAAGGAGAAGAAAAAAGTTGAACAAAAATGATCAAATATTGCAAGACACTAACTGTTGACGTTGGAGAAGACTAAATTTGAATTTAGCTAAATGCACGGTAGGCACCACCGACACCAGACCAGTCCAGAGGGTTAACTAGTTAACTAGTTAACTAGTGAAGCAACTCCTCTCCTTTCTGTGTTGGGGTACAGTCAACAATATCCTATTACGCAAGTTAAGCCCATGGACGTTAGCTCGAAAGGATATGTTATTAAACAGATAGCGAGGTGACTTATTTGAATCTATTACTATTACTTGAATCTATTATGTATATTGAGCCAACCAGCAGTCCTGGACAAAATTTGAAATTCTTTGAATTCCATAAATCAACCACATGAGTTTCGAAGTTTTGGAATTGGTCTTTTATCGACTGCGTCAAGGCAAGAGCTGCAAACATTAGAACAGTGGTGCAGCTGAAACAACACAATAGAGTTGCAAAGCGGCCTCTTATCCTCTTCTCGTAAGTAGTATCTATAAATATAAATTAGTTTTAAGCTTTTTAAAGTTTTCCAGTGCTGACGGAAACGAAGTTTAAAATCCAAGATTAAACCCAGGCTTTTACTGTAATCATACAATTGGCGAGAAATATCATTAATTTTGAACTAGAACATCGTTTCCAAAAATTACAGCAGTTGATTTAGTAGGATTAAATTTGTGTAGATGACAAGTACAAATGTTAGTGAAGTTATTTAAATCAGAATGTATATGTTCATGGCTTTGTTGAATGTCACTGTCATTGAGAACTGTGTATAGTTGGGTATCGCGAGCATAAAGATGCCAATTAAGGTAATTTAGAGACATGCGAAACTGAGAAATATGAACAGTAAACAAAAGAGGACCCAAGATGCTGCCCTGAGGCACTCCTGAAGAAACGGTAACCCGTAGTGAACATATGTCCTGTATTATAACCCTCTGTGTCCCATTACAGTTGGTCAAAAAAGTATCTGTACACATCGTATTTTTTCAGTTTTCTTTTAGTTTCTTCTATTACTTACATTTAATGAGAAATTTATTTCAAGTAAGTATTGGCAATCTCATTAAGAGTAATAAAAATAAAATAAAAATCACTTGAAACACTTTATTCAAAAGATAAAAAATAAAGGCAGTTTTGGAAGCAAGATAAATTGAAAAGTTTCTTAGTCTAATATTTTGTACAATTGCCAGTTGCTTAAATAATGGCATTAAGTCTTTTTGGAAGACTTAAAACAAGCTTTCTTCTAACTTCTGGCGATATGTTTTCCCACTCTTCTCTTATCCTATTTTTGAGGTCTTCTTTACTCGTAACTTGATGTTTTTTCACTCGTCGCTCTAATTCTTCCTACAGGTGCTCTATGGGGTTAACATCCGCTGATTGTGGTAGTGTATGAAGTTGTTGGCGGACATTATGGATCATCCAGTGACGTACAAGCGTAGCAGTGTGTTTAGGGTCGTTATCCTGTATAAGTAACGCCCCTCAAGGTTAACCTTTTCAACATTTCGATTTAAATTATTCATTCAAATTATTTATTCATTATTTGTTCAAATAGCGATGTTGGTCCATGATTCCGTCAATAAAAGCTAAATTGCCTGTCCCATTAGCTGACATGCACCCCCACAATAAAACATTACCTCCTCCATGCTTCACCGTAATCAACGCGGTCGTTATAACCTGCTCGATGCAAGAAGTTTCTAATCGTTTGAGGGCTATCAATTTTTGAGAACTCTTCCCTGATTTCCTCTGCAAGTTTTGGAGTGCTTGTTTTAGAATTAATTATAATTTTTTTCATAACAGAAGACTCTTCCCATGCAGTTAACTTCCTGGGAAAACCAGAGCGTGCCGCACTTTATAAGATCCGGTGGATTACATACATACTGTACAGTTGAATGTGATTTTTTAATTATTTTTTCTACTCCCGTCTGCAAAATACCTAATTACCCACCGATCTAGCATGCGGGAAGCGTCACTTTACCACGTCAGTTTCGTTTCCCACGAATCCGGGCCACTTCGGACATTTCCGGGATTTTACCGCACGGGTTTGGGAGCAATCGGATGTTTTCGGAGATATTTCCCACACTTTGAATTTTGACGTTTGTCAATTCTGACGGTCATGTCAGTGAATGTATTCGTGTTATTTTTTGCGAAAATGTACCTAAAAACTAATGGTCGTAGAAAAAATATATTATATATTAAAAATTCGCTCCGCTGCGCTACGCTTGTGTCAAATAAACTCGTGAGTCAAATGCCGTTTACCGCACTTGTTGCATAATATACTATTAAAAATATCCAAAAAGGTTTTTTTCTCTTTCCATAAATCTACTATGATTTTTCAAAGCGCAATTGAAATTTGGCAATTTTTAGAGCTCATTTTGTTTTTACTTCAAAACCACTTACTTAAAAGTGGCGTTAAAAATAAACAAATATAACTTATTTGTTTAAGTTGATTTGATTTAAGCAAATTTAATACGAGCTGACTTGAGATAAAATATTGACAATTAACGGTTCTACCTGCAGTTCTGAATAGTGATTTATTAAAGTGTATGGAGACTTATTTGACCGACTGTAGATACAAATAGTTTTAAGTGGTTTTGCGCATTATTATTTAAATCAATGAATTGCAAAATAGCACACAAAATCGTCCGTTACATTGGCGAGAGCACTCTCCCGACCCAAAATCCTCATTGTTTCTCTGGTAGTATTCTGTTTGCTCCTGAGTTTTTTAAAATTATTATTCCAAGTCGATTGTCAGCAGCGTCTTATTTAGTTATTAAAGCATTTTGTTAATGACGGAACTGGAGTAAAAACAAAAAACTCTCATCCCAAACGATACTTCTTTTCCATTTCATATAGAAGAAATCTACTTTGTACTTTAGGAATTTTGAAGAGTTTTCAGCATGGCAGGCACTGGAGAGAGCTTTGCTGGCTGTGTTACCCTTACATTGCTGTTCTGTCCAGCTTATGACCTCCTCACTCACATTCAATGGACTGTTTATTTTTATAATTTATTTATTTTACTTTTGCACTATTGCACACAAACAGAGCGCAAAAAACATCCCTTCGTCATTTGACACTTGCCTTAGAGGAAGAAAATTCCAATATGGTGAAGAAAAAAAAGAATATAGGTGTAATATGTGTAAATAAATTATAAATATTAGTTGTTATATTGTATTACTAATTTTTAGGATTTGTCAGCGCAGCTAAAATGCACAGCGTGAATACTAGAGCTAGTATTCATTCATGGAACATATGCTTCGTAAATTATAGTTAACACTTCAGCCCAGGAAAAATATTTTTTCAAAACGTAATTTTTAATATACAGAATACCTATTTCATTTTTTTTTAGGATCAGTTAGTGAAGAATTGAAATTGAAACTCATGTCTCTTATCAACTCACTCACTTATCAACCAAGGAGAATACCAAAAGCCGAACAGGAGACAATTTTTAAAAAATTAACTGCAGGAGCTTCTAACCAAAGTAAAAACCAATTTACGAAAAATTGATTGAATTGACCAGGCCTCATATAGAAACCATTGCATTTGAGGAAAAACACTAATGCCGATAATACAGCCAACATCGAAAAATATTGAGAAAGGCACTCGATATATGCACACCATTTGAAAAGTTCACTGATAGTTTTAGGTTTCGTTGTTTCGGCATTTTTTGACAGTACAATCCCAAAATATGCCCAGATTCAGTTAGAATTGCAGTGAAAGCAAAAACGAGTTATGCGTTTAGAACGCCGTTCCGAAATATTTTTTTTAAATTTACCTTTATCCATTACATTAATAACAAAACAAAGATAGCACACTCTTAGTTTCTTATTCATCTTTGTGGTGGTAAAGATACAAAATATCAAAATTGCGTTAATCCCAATGTTTTTATCGTCAATTGTTAAATAATACCGAATGGTTAACGTCTCTTTAAATCTGTAAATATTTGTCAGCTGTTAAAACCAGTTCCACGTGTGAATGTTCTCACGATTGTTTACAAAATTTATAACTCTCTGCTGTGTTCAGACATCGACAATATCTGAATGTCGATACAAGCATTATCTCAGATATACCCAAGAGTTTCGTATTGCGACGAAATTACTTATGGGAATTAGGGGATATTTCCGTAATTTGCAACAGCAGCAACACTTTTATTACGCACCATTAAAGTTTTCAAAATTGTTCCTTACTTTTAGGAAATTCACTATACAAGCTGTGGGTTTTTCTCATTTCTATGATTCTTCTATCACACTGGACCCTGAAAATCAACTTTTTTTTCATAATTATTAGT